TAATTTTGATAACTCTTATAAAAATAATCAAATTTAGTATCAAATTATCTATTATACCCTCAATGAAAAATAAAGCATTTTTTTAATTTGTCACGAATTTCGAAAAAAACAAGTAATTTCCACGAGAACCTACATTAATATTAGCTAATACCTAATGGATTCGTTTGTTTTTATTATCTATTAGGTATTAATCTAAAATTTTGGAAAAAAAAATAAAGAAGATGAAATAGAAAAGTCTTTAATACTAAATAAATAATTATATGCTTCCAATTCAGATTATAATTTCATTTCGAAATTTAATCTTATTCAAATTTGCAGTTAATTAGACTTTCGACAATTCTCGGTAGAAGGTAATTTTTCTTTGAAACCTTATTTTTGTTGATAAGTTGTATCTAATAGTTGTTATTTTTGACATTTCATGACGTTCTCGGCATTTTAAAAGATGTTTCAACATTTGGATCATGTTTATCTTGACACATCATTTGTTTAGAACGAGATTTTCTACATTTCATAATATTCTTGAAATTTTAAATGTAATTCTTGACATTTCATAAATGTTTTATTTACTCATTTATAGAGAAAAGTGAGCATTTAATGCATGATCAACATAATACTTTTTAAAATGGGTAATATATGTTATATGTCAATTATTATTGATCAATATAATTTTTAATTATATAAACAATTTTTTATTCATTGTGGAATTTAAGATTGTTAATGAGGGCATTTTGGTCTATATTATAGCAAAATGGACATTGAAGAAATTTATGACATTTTTGCAAATGATTATGTAAATGTGGACGTTTTTTGCAATTCCCTCTTAAACATATATAAAAATATGTCCTTGTTTGATCTTTATTTTTTTCAAAATATATATTTTTCTCTCTTTTTTTAACCACATTTTTCAATAAAATAATATTATACGAGAATTCAAAACTTTTTCTTATTATTCTAAAATGCATTCTATACCAAAAATGATATTCAAAGAGGGCGTATGTATAATAGAGAGTTAAAAAAGTGTAGATTCTGTTGTAAAAGAAATTCAGAAAAATAGACATAGGACTGAATTTTGATGTGGCCAATTTGTTTCAAATCAATATTCCTTGAACCATGTTATTTTATTTTATTCTAACTGTTGAAAAGTAAAAATAGTAATAAAAAAATAAACAGGTAAACAATACCATAAATTGAGATATTTTAATTTTCACACAACTCTTCTTTCGAAAATCCTCACGAGGAATGGGAAACGGTGGACCTCATCCAGCCTCGTCGGTTTTTAAGCTAGTTGATTTTTTACGTGATATGTGGGATTAGCAGTTTCTAAATATGTGTTTTCTAACTTATAATTATGACAGGGCAAACAAATAGGAATGAATTGTTCTTTCATTGCATCGATAGTAGAAAAACTAGAGCAAAGCCTATCTATTACTTTGAGAAGAGAATTGATGGTTTGACCAACGAAGTACGTGGGGGAAAATGTATCTTCTTTCGTTGCCAGCATCTGTTTTTCGTTTGCTAGGTTATGCAAGATGAATTGAATCTTGACTTGTCCCATTGACAAACCAATCCACAAGTAGAAAGGGAGGGCAAGAAGATCCCCCATCTAGGGACAAATATCATTCAAATATAGTGGAGCTCACATTTATTAATAACGTCTTCTTCTATGAGAAAGCTAGGGCATTGCTGCTAGAGATTAGACTTTGTTGGACTCCAAACAAGCAACCAAAATAAAAGCAAGTAGAAATGGTCATATTCATATTTGAAAAATACATCTACTCATCGTCGGGTGAGGAAGAGTTCGTAACTTCTTAACATGTCGAAAATAAGGTATTAATTTTTATTTTTTCACTTGATCTAGCTGGGTTTTGTCAGATTTTGTTGACACTAGTAGCAAGCGTCTTGTGTATCGAATAAATGATATGCGTAATATTTTTGAAGTACAAATACTGTTTTTGAAAATAGTTAAGATAATTGATATTTTTAAAAGAAAAGTAAAAATTATTAATGTACATATAATTTTTTTATGAAATTATGTATATAATGTGAAAATGTTGAATAAATCGAAATGTTATTTTGATTACAATAACACTTCTTTGTACACAATATTTATTTTTTGCTTTTACCAAAACTTTTGTTGTTTGCATTGAAACTCTGCGAGAAAGTGTGACATATAGTTGCCTTCGGTAAGTTGATGAAATTATCATCTATGTAACACTCTACTCCATTACCAATTTGAATCAAGTATTGTGCAAATCGATTGCTATTTTGAGCACACGTGTTTTGATTTAGTTACAACTTTTTCATTTCTCCCAAAGATACGATCTAAACAAATTTTGGTTAATTGTTTGTTGTCTTCTTGCTCTCAAGATGACATGTAGTACTTGGTGAAAAATCTCCTCCGAATACAATTTTTTTCCACCAAACGATTTTGAATTGTCTAAGATATTTCTTAAAGTTTTATCAAAGATTTCTATTGTATTTTTATTGGCCATTAGTGCGTCAATTAGATAAATATATGTTTTTCAAAACTTCACAACTCACAAAACATCCCAAAAATAAAATCTGGTCCAAACGTAACCGTTGATGACGGCACAACATAAAAATTAGCAGGTGAATCCGATTTATTAATGACGTGTGCTCATATGACTTTTCTCTTGATTCCTCTATTCCTTTTATATATTTAGATGTACTTGTATTAGTCTATGTTTGATTGATCAATTTTGGAAAAAATTGGGCCAGATGAACTCCATCAATGTTTTCCATAGGTAGTCCCCAGCCTCGGTACAGGAAGAGGGTTACAATGGGTTGGTGGCTAGCACGTTACTTAGTTCAAACTTTGAATCGAACAAAATAATAAAAGAGGGTTGCAATGTTATCATTTTAAAACTAAACAAACAATGCAAAGATAAATGAAAATATTAAACACTTGAAGTTACACAATTTCAAACATTTCGAAATATTTTTAGAACTACGCAACATACTTTGCTAATTTACCAAAAAATAAAGAGATACACAAGCAACTCTTCACATTCAAAACCCTCCCACATTGTGTTATAAATTCAAATAATAATTGAATAGTAGGTTATAAAACTTTTTAAATTCTAATAACAATTGAACGATGAATTGGGAATTATCCAAAATTAATGAGGGTATTATTGTCTCTCCAAAGTTTTTCCTCAATCCCCACTTTTTAAATGTTGTAGATTAAGGAAAAAAATTTAAAAAATTAGTACCAAATTCTTGAACAATTTATTACTTTCCAAAAAAATAATTTCTTCAACAATTTTAAAATTGACGTTTAAGCTGGCATGCATTTCATAGAATAGTGTATGCATAGTCTTTAAATATTAATTTATTATTAAATGAAAAAAAAAATTTTAATTGAACTAATTAAAAAAATTAATCTTTAGTTCACTGGGGCATTTTTATGTATATTAACTTCATTTCAGAAGAGAGATGACTCAAAAATGATTATTTAACGGTTTCAACATTCTTTTTTAAAAACAGGTGACGTAATTATCTATTGCTTTATGAATAACCGATTCTAATTTACATAATAGGCTAAAATTTCTATTTTTGCATTCTTTATAGCACCAAACAATAAAATCCAAAATTACCTCACTTGATATATGTAGACCTTGCATTCTAGAACTACTTGTTGTACAAAATATCAGTGTGCTAAAAAGCAGCGCCTAAACGCTGTTTAAGCAGCGTCTCGTTTTGCGTTTTTTCATTTTTTTTAAAAAAAAATTCACGCCTAGACCTGCCTAGAGGCTAGAGTGCGCTTTTTTATCCTTTCAACATTTTTTTCTTTTAATTATTAAATAATTTTTAGATTAATTTAAAAAATTAAAATAATATTAAAATAAGAAAACGTTTTTCTTTTTTATGCTTTTTAATGCCTAGGCGCCTAAGCTTGTCTAGACCAAAGCTCAGCCTCCATCATTCACCACACTTTACACTTTTTAGAATACTTCAGAATACTCACAATTTTAAGCTCAAATTTCTACTTAACCAAAATTATCAATATCCAAGACAATAAAGTCGTAATAATTTTTTGAAGATTTATATTAGGAGAATACCAATAAATATATAATCCCATCAAACCAAAAATGGAAACTAATTTATTAATTAGGGTTAATATTGATATATAAATGATGGATAATTAATTAAGTTAAAAGCTAAGAAATTATTTTTCAAACTCTGATACTAGATGATATAAATTCTTCCTATCACTTAAAACCCGGTCCATGCCAAACTCGATCGAGTCGAATTTATTACTCAACCTTCCAATATAATGCCCAAACCCGGTCCATGCCATTCGGTCGAGTAGAGGTTTAGGATCGGAATTCGGACATATCCCAATCCCACATCTTGAGTTGATCCCTATGGAACGTCAGCAGACAAACGGCGTCTACTTCCGTCATCAAACGTTAACCCACCCCACCCCACCCCCTATCCCTTCTTCTGCAATAATCTATACATACATATATATGTGTATACACAACGATAGTTTCTCTCACTATCTCTCTCTCTAGAACATGTAAGTGACGATGATATAGAGAGAAGAACGCTCATCCACTTGAGTACATGTCAAATTATGGGGAATACTACCAAAATCTCGTTAACCTCCACCAACTTTCCACACCCTGCAAATCCTTAACCTGCGCCACGATAGCCCCCCTTAATTTCATTTCCACTCTATAAGAACCCCCAGTTTTCACTCAAAACGAGATAGAGAGGAGAGAGAGAGAGATTATCTCTTAGCCATGTCTATGGTGGTAGCCAGTGGAAGCGGTGGAGGAATGAAGTATACTGGTGGCACCGGTGGAGGAAATGGCGGAAGAAAACGAAACGAAAAACGTCGAATTCCACTTCTGGGGCAGCCGGTGGTGACATCATCGTCCCCAAGTGATGATGATGATGGTGTTGATGAAAATGAAGCTCAAAATGCTCTTAAATCCCTGGAAGACTCACTTCCCATAAAGTCGGTATCTCTGTGTTAAGTCGTGTTAGTTTTTTTCATTTTACAAGCATCGGTTTTTCTATATCATCTTTACCATTATTGTTTTGCAGGAAGGGACTGTCAAATTTCTACAATGGAAAGTCAAAATCATTTGTGAATCTGAGCGGCGAAGAATCTCGGTTGAAAATGAAAGAATTGGAGAAATCAGATTACCAAATGAACAAGAAAAGAAGACTGATTGTGGAAGAGGCTTTAAGCAGGAAAATCCGCAGACTCTCCTTACCTGTTTTGATAAAATCCAAGAAAGATGAAGGAAGTAGCAAAAACAAAAGCAATGGACAAGATGAAAGTGATGATCAATTGATTTGATGATCATGATTTATCAAATAATGTCTGAAATATGCATGTCTGCTATTTAGGGTTTCCTCTCTTTATTTACTTATTTATTTATTTTTCTGGTGTGCTACTAAATAAAACTTGGGATTTTTACATAATGGTTTGTACATAATGGATTATCCCATTTCACATAATGCGCGGGGCCTGCGTGTATTTAAAAATTTCGACAATGTGGTCCACATCCCCATTGTGAGTAGTAGGTAAAAGATTCGGTAAAAAAATTCGATATATGTAGCATGATCCATAAAACTTTGCTCTTGTCGCATTGATCTCTTGATATAACTTTTCTTTAGCACTGTTTGGTTCTTAATCGGGAAATCGGACGGATGTAAGGGGGGTCACGATCGAGTACTCAACCAGTAACACCCTCACGAGATAACACCAATTATATTTCTTTTCCATAGACTAATATACATAAATTCATAGTTCTTCGGATTCACGGTCACATTCATAAAAATTAATTTCTAGCATTATTATTGTTCAATTTGGTAATTTCATAACTTCTGGTTCATGAATGTTTTACCATGAATTAAGTGATTTCTTAATATTTTGTAGATGCATTAATTTATGAGATCAGTACATAAATCAAATTTTGTTTTTTTTTTTTGTCTCACTATGAAACTTGAATAATTTTACAACGGTAAGAAGGCAGTGTAAATAGAGTAATGCTACTTGTACATTATTGTGTACAAATTGATGTACACGATGATGTGAATTATATTAACTTACTTCGTTCAATGTAGAGTGTCAAGTAAACATCCTCCATTCTACTAACGAATTATCACGTACAAATGATTTGATTTCAAGAAATGACAAAAAACAAGTTTATTAATCTCAAACACATCTTAAATAATCAGAAAATTTTGGTAAAAAATCATTAATAGGTGGAAAATCAATACACTATTCATTTAGCTTGCAATTTACAATTTTTCTTTTTTTTTTTTACGAATGCTATATTGCACTGGAAAATTTTCTAGAAAAAGAGTTTCATCAATTAATTGTCTTTATGCGAGCTTATTATGGACTTTGGTCGAATGACTTGTCATGTTGTCCAAAAAGTTCAAAATAGCTTATCGAAGAAAGAGAAAATTATTTAAATAGATCACTCTTACTTAAGTCTACTTTAAAATTAAAATTAAGACGGTTATGAGTTGACGAAACTCTCATATTCGGTAGACTCATTATTCAGAATATCATTTTTTTTCAATAATGGCCATCAAACAGGGACGTAATGATCACCTTTAATTAAGTCCTTCAAAATCAAATCTCTCCCACTTAGCTCTCTATTGGCGGCAGCTACCTGCGCCGTTCCTGGTATGTAGCTCAAGAAATTAGGTGGTTCTCGACCGTACACTACCTCAAATGGAGTTCTTTTGATAGTTGAATGACAAATGGTATTGTAACAATATTCTGCCCAAGCTAACCATCTAACCCATTGTGTAGGTTGAGAACTAGAAAACAACAAAGATACATTTCAATGGTTTAATTCACCATCTCAGTTTGGCCGTCTGTTCGGGGATGATAGGCTAAGGGAAAATTAAACTTAGTGCCGTTCAGCCAGAATAATTTTGCCCAAAAATTACTGGTGAATGTGGGGTCTCGCACACAATTGATCTTGGCGTACCATTTAGACGGAATATATTATCAAAAAATATTTGAGCGATACTTACTACTGAATAGGGATGAGAAATGGCAATGAAATGAGCATACTTCGTCAAACGATCTACCAAAACAAATATAGTTGACTTACTCTTAAAAGATGGCATCCCTTCGATAAAATTCAATGCAATGTCTTCCCATGCTTGATCTGGAATTGGCAATGGCTGCAGCACTCCTGCTGGTTAGAGACGATCACTTTTGTGACGTTGACAGCTGCTTAACTTATGTTGCCATGGACTCACATTGTTTTGGTGTAACGAAGTCCACTGATAGAATGAAGAGAAATTTCAGGTGTCTCTAACGGCTGTTCCTCCACCTCTCCATCATCTTGCATAGGGATGGCAAAAAAAAAAATACATTTAACCAGATATCCGCTTGCACATTTCGTTGCCATCCCTAATCTTCCATGATCGGATGGCAAAAAAAAATACATTTAACCAGATATCCGCTGGCACATTTCGTTGCCATCCCTAATCTTCCATGATCATATCTCCATCTTCCTAATACCCGTCTTCCTAGACCAACCATCACATACCCGTCTCGTTGCCATCCTAATCTTCCATGATCATATCTCCATCTTCCTCTTCAAAGAACATTTCAATTACAATTAATTTCTTGCAATGATGACCCAATTTGAACTTCTCATTGCAATTGTAACAAAGCCCTTGATATGAATGTAAAATGCAAATTTTTTCCTCCTTATTTTATGTGCTCGTATAATTAATTAGTGCTAAAATGTACTCATTACGTTCATATTTTAATTTAGGTGGCAATCTTATGGATATGATGTAATTTGGAAGAAATAAGCGAACAATGGCCAAAAGGAAAGAAAACAAAGTTTGGGGATTGAAATGCAAATATTCAAAAGTTATGTGGAACCTCACGATGAAGATTTGAGAGTGTTAGAGGTCAATCGGATGAAAAAAGAAGTCAAATGGATGAATTACAATCAAAGTATTATTATATATCAACTCCTAACCGAAAAAGTTATGCATCCGATTTTCAGTCTCAATTTGAGACCCATTTTTTACATGGCAAACGATCGAGTTGAAAGATGATATCTGAAGCAAAGTTGTAACCTCCTAAATAATTTAGAAAACCGCTGGTTTTCCTAACAATCTCCCACTTTGCTACATATTATTCCTAAAACAATTATATTACAAATTTTTCAAGCGCGCATATGTATAGTCTATATATCATTAGGCTTCTCTTTAAACAATTTATCAACTTCAGCTTTGAAAGACTTGAAAACGTCCAAGGATTGTGACTTCACGTGTATCAAATATAGGTAACCGAATCTAGAGTAATCCTCTATGAATGTAATGAAGTACTGTTGTTCATTCCAAGAAGCCGTAAGGAATGGACCGCAGATATCAGTATGTATTAGTTCTAAGACGTCTGTAGCTCTCTCAGCTCCTAATTTTCTAATATTTGTTCGTTTCCCCTTGATGCACTCAACACAAACTTGGAAGTTTGTTAAGGGCATGTTTGACTAGGCTTAAAATCCAATTAAAATTGAAAATATAGGCGTTATTGGGTCTCACTCATCTAATAAAAGTCAATAATAACAGCTGATTTTTTAATTTTAATCCGATTTTAATCTCTACCGAATATGCCCTAAATTTAGGGGCTCAAGAATTCCATCTAACACAAGTTCCTGAATTCTCTACTTATAGATATGACCTAAGCACTTGTGCCATACTGTTGCGGAATTCTCACTTAATTTTTGCTTTGTACCACGTGAACTGGTTTGCAGTATTTCAATACAGTAATTAACAATATCAAGCATATACAGATTATCAATCAAATAACCGGAACCAACAAAATTTGAATTTTGATAGAGACTAACTTTATTATTTCCAAATGAATAAGAAAATCCTGATTTGTCCAAACTAGAAATAAAAATTAAATTCCGTCTAAAGGACGGTGCAACAAAAGTCTCAAACAAATCCAAATAAAACCAAGTTTTTAATTGTAATCTGAAAGTCCCTATAGCCTCCACTGCAACTTTATTACCGTCGCCCACAAAGATGAATCTTTCAGTATCACTTGGCGGTCGGCTCCACGGCAACCCCTTCTTTACACGCCAAGCAGCGTACTTTGAATACTCATTCTTCATGATGCCTTCTTGCAGAAGTAGCAGAAAAATTTCTCATCCTGTTTCTTTTGTTGTTTCTGCTTAGACGGTCCTTTTGCAGTATCCTTAGCTCTCTTCCTTTTTT